GTGCCGGGGAGAGGAGGGAGGACCCCTCCCCCACCAATCAATCAATCAATCAATCAATCAACCAATCAATTAATCAATCAATCAATCAATCAATCAATCAATCAATCAATCAATCAATCAATCAATCAATTAATCAATCAATCAAAAAAAAAACAATCAATCAATGATTTTTATTATTTTTTTTTTTTTGCTACTTACCAAAAACCAGCCCCCAAATTTTCATTTTTTTTTATTTTTTTAATGCAGGCTGTTAGAGGCCGACGTGCACAGGCCGCGCCCGCGCCGATTTCCCGCGCGCGCTCCCGCCTGGCTGTGGCACGGCTGCGGGCCCGCGGCCGACCTCCTCGGCTGCGGCCTTGGGTGCCACATAGGCAGAGATGCACTCTGGCCATGGAGAAGGTGAGAGTAGAAGGACCAGAGATCACCGAACAGATACAACAGCAGGTGCACTTTGAACTCACACAAAGATGGTTAGACACAAAAGCACCGTTAGACCTCTTTAAACAAAGAGGAGATGTTAGGAGACGGATTACAACATTTTGCACAGACTGGGTGGTAGGAGGGGAGAGAGAAGGATGGATTGCAAAAGTGGAATGGAGTGGAGACAGGGTAGAGGGACAGAGGGATTTGGATGAGATGAGAGACTACCGTCTAATCTTCAAGGACTGGAGAAACATAGAACCCTCGTTCCCACTTCGCCCTCCCTCGAATTTTCCAGACCCATTCCCACCCCATGCCCTTTCCCTTGCAGAGATCCTGTCCTGAATGAAAAAATCCTTAAGCCCTGTCTTCTACACACTTATATACACTAATGCATATATAATCTTTATGCTCACGCATGGAACTCCTCCCTGGAGCCCCTCGGGGAGTTTTTCGGCTAACACCCATACGTTTCCTTTTTTGCTGCTCAGTTAACCCCCCTTTTCTATGGATTGGGGCAGTCAATGCTGGCAGTCTGAGCACTCTGAGCAAACCGAGCCATTCATGTACTTTGGGACGCTGCACCTGGTTTCCAGCAGGTGCAGCTCCCCACCAATAGATGGAGCAGCCGGTGGCTACTACTAGCGGGGGATGCTCGTATCACCCCCTCTAGTAGACAGCTAAGGCTTTAAAAAAAAAAGAAAAAAAAAAAAGAAAAGACAAGGACAGTAAATGGCCCTGGAAATGGAGGGTGTTGCTATGCGGGCATTGGAAAAGCCAAGTCTCGCTCTTAACAACCAACATGTTCTAGATAGGGAGAAAGGCAGTCCTTTCGCCCATTCGGTGGCGCCTCTGCATGTTGGCTACAGAAAGGGCACACGTGAGAAACGGGGAAACCACAAATATGATCCAACTGATTCCAACATATTATTGAAACAGAGATCAAGGCACAGTGGGAAAAACCTGTACGGAGAAATGAAACCGCTCTCAAGGAAATCAGATATTGCCTAGCGCATAAAAGTGTTCTGCATGGAATGGCTGGGGGGGGAAAGAGGTGAAGGGGTAGTGGAGGTTCAATGGAAAGGGATGGCAGCTGGAAGACCAGCAGCGACTGGAGCCCCCTCAGAAGAACTACTGACTATGCTTCAAGGAGCGTACCACGGTGGGAGATGAGATTCCCCCCCACCCCCCCACCCCTCTCCCCTGGAGCCCCTTGGTGGACTTACATTAATTTGGTAGGGAATAGGTACCAACACCCGGTCGCCCCCCGGAGTGTGGGACCTGTCCTCAGTTCCCCACAGCCCCCTGAGAGTGAAAGAGAATGGAGAGGGTCGAGGCCTCAAGCATGCACACGAAGGGACCATGATGCGGCTTTACTTATTCCGGCGACTCAGTAGGAAATGGTGTCCCATGGTTCAAGGACAAAGAAAAAGATGAGTCAATCAGATTCGTGGTCACACGGTTTGAGGGCAAAGCTGGATGGGTGTGTGTGAGGGCGCTAATGAAAACCTAATAAGGGGCGGAAAGTAATGTGAAGCTCCCCCAAACAGAGAGCGTGGCCCCAACCCTGCCGGAGTTTGCTGGTTCTAATCAGACCGAAAACCATCCCATTTACACACTGTCAGAGATAACCGATCAGTTACACATACATGCTGGAAATTCAAAGACCAGTGCTCCTCACTCGGATCCTCTCTCCAGCAAAACAGAGAAACTAAGAGAAAGAGAGCTGAGAGTGAAAGACAATGAAGAGTGTCGAGGCCTCAAGCATGCACAAGAAGGGACCATGATGCGGCTTTACTTATTCCGCCGACTCAGTAGGAAATGGTGTCCCATGGTTCAAGGACAAAGAAAAAGATGAGTCAATAAGAATCGTGGTCACACGGCTTCAGGCCAAAGCTGGGCAAATCTTTCCTCAGAACGTTTGCCAGCGACTGAAACTCAGGCTCACTCGTTATACCACAGTCATGAACGGAGGAATATTTGAGGGTATATCTCCAGGCTTGGACAACATAGGGGAGAAGACACTTATTCTTGTGGCTGTGATGTGCCAACCTAGTGAGAGCCTTGCAGGCGTTCAGCTTTGTAGTGTTACTTTCTTCTTCGACAATCAGAATCGCCAGATGCACTGCTATCATAGATATGGTTGCGTTTGCTCTGTGTTCGACTAGCACAGGTGAGCGAGAGTGTCCGTGGTCATCGGCACATACCTCGTCGATCTCCTTGCTTAGCAGATCAAAGTGGTTAGCCAGGAGAAAAGAGAGCAATCTCTCGGGGCTCCGCCGGACCCAGGTCACGGTCGGAAGACGACATTCAGCATCGTTCCACGAATGTCTCATGAACTCCCTCCATGAATCCTCATTCGCCCTGAAATGTTTGGTTAAACCGAATCTGAAAAAGACGGGTCAACTCTGCGACTTCAAAAGGGAAGAGATGATGTGAGCCAAGCCGATGATAAGACAAGAAAATTAAGGCTAATGTCGATTTGCATTCCATAGATGACCGGTGTGACAGAGCAAAGTCGATGATCACCGGAAGTGCTGTGGACTGCCGGAACGCGCCGTGAGGGGGTACGATCCACGAGCTCTCCCCTTCCAAGTCGCTGTCACCGAAGTGAACACCGTAGAATGCTTCCCGGCGAGGGGTTTCCCATTCCAGTGAAGCGTCGGCAGCAAGTTGAGCAAAGGTCTGGACTTTCTCCAGCCACACTGAATGGGCATAAGGTACGTGGTGACGCAGGAGCTCCACGAAGACCAACAAGGTGTACACGTTGACAGTATCCGTTAATCCACCGCCTACAGCTATCTTGACCAGCTCTTCGATCAGGCTTTTACCCTCTTCGCCGTGAAAAAGACATTCGGCGATAGTGCATCTCTGGGAGAGAGACCAAAGTGTTCGGGCAACATTCTCCTGGAGCTGCGGAGAGGCATTGCTTGCCAAAGCACTCACCATATCAAGCCCCATTTGGCGCAGGAGCGTCACATGACCACCAAGGAAGGGATCATAAGGATCCGATATCCCGGCCAACCGTTCCCTCGCATGAATGTTTAACAAGTGGCAGAGGATCATGGCCGCCCGTTCACGACACCCCATCGACGTGTGGGTGGTCACAATCCTGCCCAGCTCTGCAAAACCCCACCCGTTTCCGACGATCGAGTCGCAAACGTGGCTATCCCGGCTTTTGGCGTAACGCGCCAGGGCGTCCAATGCCATCTCCTGGTCTACGTCGAGCTGATTACAGTGCCCGACAGGATAGATAGTCCTCCTATGGGAACTGTCGTTGTCACAGAGGGCATGCTGGAGCAGCTGCTCCGCACTAAGGAACCAATGCCCGGGGAGCCCGCAACTCCCGTCGGTTTGGTAGGCGCACACAGCAGGTAGCAGAGGGTGCCGCTTGCAATGCAAATACCACACCAGAGCGGATAGATCGTCTATTACCCTCTTATCTTTCATGGCCGTTGGTAAGCTATTTATAGCCTCCCTGCTCACCGTCCCTGCTCTCCGGGTGGCATCGGCATTTGCACTCATCAGGCTTGATTCTGGTGTTTGCCTGTCACCGAGGAGTCTTTGCCTCACAAGCAGGCACTCCAAACCTAAGATAAGCGAGAAAGGTGTAGCACGGAAAGCATTGAGAAATACAATGAGCACGGAGACAAGCACCTGCACAAACACGACGCCATAGCAGCAGTGCAGCATCTCTACAAGCCTGTCCAGACCTGGCTCCTCCACTACGGGCAGTGCTTTCTGAGAACGTATGCGCCTAGCCAGCCTCCCCGCCAACGCTCCCTGTGTTACAATCCCTGCCACTCGCAGGAACCACACCGCCGCAAGGTAGCCATGATACCGATCAGTATCCTCAGCCAGCTGCAGCATGACGAAACTGCATGGCACGCCGCTTACGAAGTGCTCCTGGACGAACTTTCGGGTCAGTTTCAGCATCGTCTCCACGACGAAGATGGCCATGCAAAGCCATAACGGTCTTCGTCCATGCAAAGCCATAACGCTTCTCTTTCCATGGAAGTGCCGAAGGATCCCAGGACAAGCAGGATCTCGGTGAGTATGAGCCACCCCACTACGTTCTCTATGTGCTCTACCAGAATCAACCTCTCAATCCGACGTTTCAGGCTTTCTGAAGGGGGTGACAAATCCCTGGTGCTGTCTCGAACTAGATCCAAATCCAAGCCATAGCAACGTGGTTCAGAAGTAACAGAGCACCCTTGGTAGCGACGTTCGAGGATCCGGTCGATGGCGGCAGCGCTGCTCCCCATGTCGACTTATTGAAATTTCGCCGGCGAAGAGGCGGCTGGGACAACAGCAAGGGCTCCGACGTTTGCACTCTTTCCAAGTCTTCTTCTTTTTCTTCTTCTTCCTTTTTTTTTTTTTTTTTTTTTTTAATTAATAAAGCTCCATTGTTCTCTTAAGTCCTCCTCACACTAGCTACCTACCGCTACCGCTACTAATAATTATAGTAAGGGCCTCGCCACACCACTCTTGAAACGGGGAAATTTTTCAAGAGCTGTCAGACGTTCTCAAGAGTTGGGTCTTCAAGAGTTTTCCGCCCCTCGCCACACAGCACTCTCCAAAGGGCAATGGTGTTAGACAGAGGATGAAAAACGACAGTCATACAGCTTTGTTTTTTTCGAATGGAGTCAGGATAACGGCCTCACAACTCTTGAAAATTGAAAGTCCCTCAAGGGTTCGGGCAAGGACGCTCAGGGCCTCGCCACACCACTCTCGAAACGCAAAAAATTTTCGAGAGTTGTCAGACTTTTTCGAGAGTCGGGTTTTTGAGAGATGAGGCGCCTTCGCCACACAGCACTCTCGAAAGGGCTATGGTGTTGGACAAAAGATGAAAAACGACAGTCGTACAGCTTTGTCTTTTCCGAATGGAGTCAGGATAACGGCCAGACAGCTCTCGAAAATTGAAAGTCCCTCAAGGGTTCGGCCGAGGAACGCTTGAAAACGCACGCGTTGCAGGCTGGGCGTTTAGGAGTTTCGAGAGTCTACTCTCGAAACAAGGTCTGACAACTCTGGAAAGAGTTTTCGGGCCACAACTCTCAAGTGGCTGTGTGGCGACGGCTCCAACTCTCGAAAACCGGGTTTCAAGAGTGGTGTGGCGAGGCCCTCAAGGACGCTTGGAAACGCACGAGTTGCAGGCTAACTGGGGTTTTGAATCTTTCAAGAGCTTCTCTTGAAACGGGGTTTCAAGAGGCTGCCACTCTGACAGCTGTTGACTGCCCCAAGTGTCAAGAGGCTGTGTGGCGATGCAGCAACTCTTGAAAAAGAGTTGTTAAGAGTGGTGTGGCGAGGCCCTAATACAGGGAACCCCGTAGCAGCCAGAACCGTGTTCAGGAAGAGAACATGCGGGGGGGCTGCTCCCGACCTGTTGGTGGGCAACACCGGCCAGGGGACAGCCGGTGGAATCAGTCAAGGACCGTGCCAACACAGGACCAATGCCTGTGCCTCTCCTGAGGTGGTGGTCCCGTCCCCTAGGAACATGAGCAGACGCTGGCCTGCGACCTAAAAATAGACCACTGGATCCCCCGATTGGCATTGAGCAGAGTGCGCTCTTCCCAAGTCTCGTGTATGCTGTCGTCTGTGTGCTCGGACAAAATTACCCCATTAAGACACTCCATAGATGTGGACACCCGGAGTCGACGATCGACAGAGTATCGACGAATTACAACAGCACCGGAAAAAAAGGTAGAAAAAAGCGGCTGTCCCAGAACACCGGGAGACACAGAGGAGCCGACGACCGAGGCAAAACGGTTGCCCCCATTCCATCAAAGTAGTCGCTACCTACCCCGATAGCATTGGGGTTGGCAACTACAACCGTCTCTCTCTCTCTCTCTCTCTCTCTCTCTCTCTCTCTCTCTCTCTCATGATGATGATGGACGAGAGACGAGTGTGACGTCGAGTAACGGGCGAGATGCCGTGAGCAGAGTGACCAATGTGAAGGTCAACTCTCTCTCTCTCTCTCTCTCTCTCTCTCTCTCTCTCTCTCTCTCTCTCTCTGTGTGTGTGTGTGTGTGTGTGTGTGTGATGATGATGGACAAGAGACGAGTGTTATGTCGAGTAACGGGCGAGATGCCGTGAGCAGAGTGACCACTGTCAAGGTCAACTCCCTCTCTCTCTCTCTCTCTCTCTCTCTCTCTCTCTCTCTCTCTCTCTCTCTCTCTCTCTCTCTCTCTGTGTCTGTGATCCACCAAGACGGAGTTGTGAGCAAGTGACTACAGACTGTCGCTGTATGGCTACAACAACACCATAGCACCGTTTGTCGAACCCGATTATCCACAAAGCGAGAAACTGCCTTTTCTACATTGAAGGCGACAAACTTCCGAGAATTGGGACTATGCACCACTGCGATGGAATGGGATCCATTGCGCCGGATTTGCCAGACAGACACTCCAGGATCAACCTAGCACTTGTCCAGTTGTAACCCCGTTGTAGTGTGTTGAAACAAGCTCAGGTATCTTAGGGAATCGTGGCACGGCAGACGACTTCGTGTGCTCTATTTTAACGGCTATGTCAAAACGTCATTGGGGTTCTAATTGCCAATATGATAATCATAAAGATAATAATGATGCTGGAGATGATGATGAGAATGGGAGTGAAGTTCATGGCAGTGGTAATGATGATAATCAGCCGTGTAGCCGAGATCTGCCCTGAAAGTCTTGGCTACAGCGTCCAACACGGCGGCAGGTAATCATAGTGATGATGATGACCGTGATGAGGCTGATGAATCTGCGATCATGATGATGATGATGAGGATGATGACGATGATGATGACGATGATGATGATAAACATGGTGTGGATAGCGATGGCGATGATGATGATGATGATGATGATGATGATGATGACGATGAGGAGGAGGAGGAGGAGGAGGAGGAGGAGGAGGAGGAGGAGGATTGTGCTGTCCTTGAACCTGTAATGAGCAAAGAAGCGCTTTTGAGGTGCCCTCTGCGGCGATGCACGAGCCGTTCATTGTCCGAGCAAAACCCTCCCATTTACTGGTGGGTAGCGTCAGGCTGTCAGCTGCTGGAATACTGCTCCAGCGTCCTGTTATTAATCGTCGGAATATGCACTATACAACACTCCGCTGAAAATGAAAAGAATGCGAATGCCTACACGGACTTGGAATTCCTCTGGGTCGAGCCCAGATGTAGCTCGAGAGTCGAGCCTACACAGACTTAATTAGTATCTTGTTGATTGTTGCTTGTTGCTTGTTGCTTGTTGCTTGTTGCTTGTTGATTGTTGATTCACCCTTTCAATGAGTAACAGTTCCCATCATGCGACTGGAGCGCCAACCCGGACTTAGTTAGTCTCATTGAAAGGGTGAATCCCTTTCAATGGTTGTTCCCTTTCCGCTCAAAATCGAGCCTTCGTTCACTCAAGCAGACTGTTCCCACCTCCGCAGTCCAAGATGACCTGTTAGGTTGAAGCGCCAGTGACGAAGATCATGGAGACCTGAAACAGGATCGCCATTCTCTCTCCCAAAGCTCTCTCTTCTGTGTCCAGGTACGCAATTCTCTCTCAGCTCGGTCTCTTTTGAAGCGCCACGGAAGAAGATCATGGAGATGTGCAGAAGGTTCAGTGGTTCACCATTCTCTCCTCCGAAGCTCTCCCTCCCTTTTATGCCCTGCTAGGCTATTCTCTCTCACACAGGTCTCCTTTGAAGTCCGTCTCCCACTTACAAAGGACAAAGGAGAGGAAAGAAATTTAAAGAGGAAAGACAAGTTCATCGTGGAGTGATCAATGAGGAGGAAGAAAAGGGAGGGAGGGACACACACCCAGACTGGGCATGAAAATAGATGCCTCAGGCCAGGGAACCAATCCTGAAGCTCGTTCTATGACGCAGGCATGAGGAAAAGCAACGAACCATCAAAATGAAAATGAATCCCGTAATATCAGCCTTGGGCACTGGGCCCTTTCAAAAAAAAAAAAAAAAAAAAAGAGTCCCGCTTATTACAAGGCAATTAAGTCACTATTCGAACCAACCCTACCCTGTGCAACATCTCCTCTTGTCACCACGTCATCAGACGGAGGAGCCTCTGCAAAGGAATCGGATCCTCCTAGCAGTGGGACTACCTTAGATCCCCCACCCTAGCGAGTCCGACATCCAATCACGTGACCAGAACCCGATGAATCATGGGACCAGGGGCCTGGACCCACTAGAGAAGTATCCTACGACGCGTGACACAGTTTTATGTTTTTTTGGAAAATACGAAGTGATTTTTTATTTGCATGAATGGATCGTTTTCTGATTTTTAGAATGAATTGAAATAGCACATAAAACTATGAAGAACAGCTGTGCACCCGAATTCATGGGTTGGTACGATCTCCTTCACGTAAGTCTTCATAGTGATGTACCGTGGCAATAAAATGTGTCCACGAACACATTCACGAGGATGAACAAGTAATGGCCATAGTGATACATTCATCCCCATGTATCTCATGAGGCCTTTAGCAGGCCATCCGACAGACGCGGAAGCGTTCCTGTCAGATGCACCACAATATTCGAATTCGGAATTTCACATTTCAAGTTCTATTTCTCAGAGCCAAAAAAAAAAAAAAAAACGAAGTCTGGAAATCAACCCCCCCCCTTTTAAAGCCCATAAAATCCAGACTTCCCGCCCACGCAAAGCCACGAGCTATCATGTCCAAGTTAGTCCAACTTCGTTTTTTTTTTGTATTCGACGCATCTCATTGGACGGGAGGTGGGCATCTTTACAGTCCCCGCTCGGAAACTACCAGGCCGTCCAGATCCGATCTATTCGACGGCCGTACTCAGTCACTCGATGCCACACGTGATCGAAATCCTGAACGGCGTGGTAGAATACCTTGCTAGTGGGTCCAGGCCCCAGGGGCCAAGTCCCACTTACGCTAATTCTTCATTTGTGACCGTGGATCTCTGTAATCTATGGTCGGAACGGAAATTGAGATTTCGGGTAAGTGGGACTTGGGACTTGGCCCCAGAACCGGATCCCTATCGATGTCCCGAAAACAGCCTCCGCAGAGGAATTCGCCCCTTCTCACAGTGGGACTACCTTC